GAAGAGTGCTTTAGAAAACCTATTATTCTATTTAAGCTAAATGACCCATAAACTAACAAAGAGAGCCCCTTCCACAAAATCTTGTGTTCCAAACTCCTCCACATACTACACAAATAAGACGAAAGAAAAATAATCAAGTGAGAAGGAAAACCCATACTTTTCCAAAAAAAAGGGAACAGTCAAGACCATAGCTTCCATGCCATAGAACAGTGAAGAAACAGATGGAATTACTCAAGAATTGAGAAAGCACATCAACCAAATGTTAGGAGAGAGAGCTTTGTGAGGCCTCAATCATTTCATGACATTAGGTAAAGGATGAAAATTTACATAGAGTTGAGGATTATACCTTTTGGCTTCTTTCGGGGAACTTCTTTATCTACACCATAAAGGGAATCTCAATATCATTCTAGTTAAAGCTTCCATATCCACAACGAACAAAAGTGGAGATAGTGAATCCTCTTGTCTAATACCCCTTCAAGTCTTAAAAACCGAGGATGGTCTCCCATTTTTTCCAGTGGTGGTAATGCATGAGTTGATTCATCTATGCCATTTGTCACCAAAGCCCATCCTTGCTAGCATGTAATAAATAAAATCTCAATTAACATAGTCCTAGGCTTTCTCCATATCTCGTTTATACAGTACCCTGTCCCTGTTTCTGAAACACAATATCAATCCACTACCTCATTGCCACTAGAACTGCATCCATAATTCGTTTTCTCTCAAAAAAAGCACGTTGACATTCCCCTATCACTTGATCCGCACTTTAATCATTCTCCTAACTAAAACTTTTGCAATCAGCTTGTAAATACATCCTACTAGATTTATTGGTTAGAACCCTTTTACATTCATCGCTCCCTCTACCTTTGCAATTAATACAAAAAAAAAAAAACTGGAATTTAAGGACTTCATAAATGAATTGGCCTCATGAAATTCTTTAAAGAGTCCTACAACCTCCGTCATTCAATACCACAAATGCTGCACAAAGCCCATGTTGAAACCATTCGGAACAGGAGCTTTGTCTTTCTGACACTACATTAAACCCTCATGAATTTCCTCCTCGGTAAATTCTTCAACCAATAAGTTCCTATTTCTCTCATCTAAAGAATTAAATATAAGACCATCTAGTTTAGTGCTCTATTAAAAATCCTCGTGATATAGTCTACTAAAAAAAATATTTCATCCCTTGCCTTAAATCCTAATTTCCTTTCGCTAATTTCTCTTCAATTTCCATTGCCCCAGTATACTTGAATCTCCTGTAGTAATGTGCCATACTGTGGAAATATTTTATATTTCTGTCTCATTCTTTTATCCATATGGCTCTTGATTTTTGTCTCCAAGAGATCTCCTTCATTTGAAGTTTATTAGCCATCTCAATCTTTAACCATTCCCTGCATACCACATCTTTGGCAGATAATGCATCTATAGCTTCCAACTCAACTATTGTCACGATGTCTTGAAACAACGGTATCACATTTGTACCATTCTTCTGCGAATCCTCTTTACTTCAATTCTTGATAGCTTTCTTCATTGCCTTTGATTTGTGTGCTAATCTGAAACTGGATTTTCCATTCACCATTGTCTTCTTTCCACCAATTTTCTACCTTTTTGCCTAAACCGGCCACTTTCACCCATTTGTCTTCAGACCTGAAAGGGTATGAACCTCACTTGATCCCATCAGCCTCCAGACTTATGAGAAAATGGTCAGAAATAATTCTTGACAGCAGCTTTTGGCAAATCCCAGAGGTTTGCAGATGGCAAGAGGTAGACATCAGAAATCTATTGATACAAGAACATGCCAGTTAGACCTCTGATTTGACCAAGTTCATTTGCCCCCTAGTAGAGGCAACTCAATGAGATCCTTTTTATCAAGAACCTCCTTAATTTCCTCCACACACACCCTCGGAAATTAAGCCCTAGTCTTCTCCTATATGTTCAGAACCATATTGAAATCGCCCCCACCACCCATGTCATTTCCCCTCTCTGCTCCTAGTCTTTTAGACCCTTCCGTAGCAGAACCTGCTCCCTCCCTTCTCCCTTGTTATAGACCCCAGTAAAAACCCATCTCTCTCCTATTCCTTGATCCTCCAACAAACACGATATAGGACATTCACCTGTTATAATGTCCACACACCTAAATCTGTCCTCTTTCCATAAAATCAAAACACCCCCCGATGCCCCTTTATCCAATAAATCCTTCCACTGATTGTCGTTGATCTTCCAAATGCTATGTATGATCTTTTTTTGAAACTACTTTCATTTTATACTCCTGCAGACATAAGATATCCAGTTTCTACCTACTCATACATTATTTTATCACCTGTTTCTTCTTATGATCACTTAATCCCCTAAGGTTCCATATGATGATTTTTCCAAACATATTTACTTACTGGTCGACGCCCCTACCCCTTTCTTTCCCTCTGTCCTCAAACTGCACAGTTAATACTTGATTGCAGTCTCCTCAGCTCTTTGGACCACTCAACCCCTTGCTTATTTTTCTTTTTGGTTGAAAGTCTCTCCTCCATCTTCCCCTTCCTTATAAGCTCTACCTCTGTAAATAGTTCTGTAGCTTTTTTCTCCAAGTCGTCAAAAGACACGCCTAACATGATGCCTGATTCGTTGTATATTATTTAGAATCCGCCTAGAGCTTTCCTTCTCAACTAAATGACCAATCTTTTCTCCCTCCATATCCTCCACCATGATCTCATTTCCTTGATTTAACCATTCCTCTGTTACAACCATTTTTCCAAAATCATCATTGATCGTTACTAGAATCATCGCCGTTGATGGTATGGCTTCCTCCCTCTCCAACTATGTTCCTTCTTTGCATTCTTCCCAGTTTTCCTCCATTAGCCTATCATCTGCATTTAGACTCGTTTCCGCCTGATCTTTGTTGCCTGCTTCCTGCCCTCTATTACTGCCTCCTTCCTCTGCCTTTGGAACCTTCTGTTTGTCCACCGACTGCCTCCCCATCTCATCCCTTCGGAGCCCTTCTTCTGCACTCATCAGGTTAGGGTTCTTTCGGGTCACGGATCGCGGGACCCATTTTAGACCCAAACCCACTCTCCTGTGGCCAGTATATTTTCGGTTCCTCCTGACCTAAAATCCATGTTTCCTCCTTAAGCCCATTCTCAATTTCAGCGCACTCAAGGATTTTGTATTGGGCATGTTTCTACGCAGCCCATACCTGATTCTAGATCCTTTAGAATGACCTCCTTTTTGCACGTTTTGTGAGAGCCCAAAACGACCACCTCCCCTACCGTGCTCTTCCTTAGTTTACAGGTTCTTCAGCAGTTCCACTAAGTTGGCAGTCACCCCTAAAAAATATCTATGAAGAAAATATAAAAGCATGGGAATTCAAAAT